TGTGTGGCAAGTGAACTCCAGTACTTATCACTGCGGTACTGTTGTCGACAATGATTTGGTCTCCATATTGCTCGTTGAATCCAATCCAGAAGGTTATTCATAGTCTGGATGACAATCTTCAAATCGAGTTGCAAAAAAATGACGTTTAGAAGGTGGAACTTGAGTTAGGTATTGTCATTTGCAAAGTAGGGTGTAAGCCCGGATTTACAGAAACACGCTCATTTGTAAACAAACTGGTTTTGTGGGAGACTCACCTGGACCCCAGCTGAAACTCAGGTGCTTGAAAGCATCATAAACGGAGATTCCACTGGGTTCCAGGTGAGTCTCCCACAAAACAATATTTGTTTGAAAATGAAAGTATTTCGCTAATTTCGTGCCATTTCGGTTCAAGTGGAGCATAAGGTTGACGGAAACTCGAGGTCTACGCCTACCTGATGAGCTCCAATAAGGGCGACACCAGTCGTGGAACTGTCGAAAATTCTCAGCAAAATCATGAGTAGTGTACTCCGGATTTAGCTTTGCATTTTTGTAGGAAGTTTATAGGCTGTTGGCTTATTGGCTTGTGTCTCAAACTTATACCACCTAAATCTGCCATCCGGTCCTTAGAACAGGTGATCTTTTGCGGTATTGCTGCACAGATTGTGAGACTCAGGGATAAAACAATCCCCTTTCCAAAAAAATCATGGAATTGACGAAACGCACAACTAAGCTTACTGAAGACTTTCCGACAGTGCTATGAATAGTGTGTCCTAGTAGGAAAATATACCATGATGTCTCAATCATCATGCCAGCTGAAACATGAGGCAACCGTCGTACAGCACATTCAGGTGAAGAACAGCATAAACGGAAGGTTCGTCTGAGTCTCCCAGTTCAATTTTCAAATGAGTGTATTTCGCCAAAAGCGTGGACTGTTCTAGTAGGTCAGTGGCAACTTCTTCAGGGGAAGAAAATGTTGCGGATATCTGTTGAAAAGTTCTTCCTATAAACTATCTTGTAAAGCAAACTGTTTTTAGTAGTAGCAGTCTGTCTTCGGAAATTACTGTAATCGTATCAGTCGACTAACCCAAACGAGTCAACGGACATATACTCACTCTTGTCTTTTGGGACAGGTGGCCTCACATTAGCTCATCTCATAGTGGGTGCCGGCGGTGCATATAGCTGAGACGATATTTGAACGTGCTCATGTGATATAACCAGGGGGATAGAAATAGTAATGATCACAAGCCTTCTGACGTCACAACTGCTTAAACATGATAATGTGTGTATGAAAAATAACGACCTTCAAATCTGTTTTTAACCGGATCGGCGAACCCATTGGTTATCTGGTGGCTGATCTACACATACTCGTTTCACGATGCATGTTACATGTTTACTGAAATCCATCAATCTATTGGTGTGTGGGGCTGAATGATGTTTATGTAGACGGATAAGCTGGCGTTTATTTGTAGAAGTATAATGTTGCCGCAGGAAAAATACATTCGTACAAGCCACATTAGTTCCTATATTTCCAATAAAAAGGTAACATTGATTGTGCCTGTGTGCGAATAAGGAACTATACTTAAAACAGTGAGAATCGGCTGACACATGGACGTTAGCCATTTCAGTTGCAAAATTAGAGCCTCTCTGAATAGTGAGCGTCTCAGAGAAGCAAACGACAGTGATTTATTAGTCCAAAGCAGCTTGATTAATAGCGTAGTGTGCCCATACCTCACCGTAGGCCTTCTAAGTAATGAGATTTATAGTGAGCGCTCAGAGAAACAAACGACAGTGATTTATTAGTCCAAAGCAGCTTGATTAATAGCGTAGTGTGCCCATACCTCACCGTAGGCCTTCTAAGTAATGAGATTTCCGTAGGGGCAGCTTATTCGGATCGGTCACTTGACGAAAAAGTTGATTTGGCGGATCTTGACTTGTATTCCATATCTGGCATAGATCAAAGCGCCTCCATTCTTGTGACAGTCCCATAATCTACACACAGACACGTTTAAACCATGGATGATAGTGTGAAATCCAATCAACGCATCCACTGACCTGACATATCTGTCCTCACCTAGATTCCACCACAGCTTGATTGACAATGGGATATTCTATCATGACTTTGGAGGCTACTCGTTGGAGGGAAATCACTTTTAACTTCACCACCACCCAAACGGCCTTCTTAAGCTAGAAACCAATGTGCTCATCTCTAGTTTCCAATTCAACATGGAAAACTGGTACTCTGGAACTACGGTATACTCCTGTCATACGTGTCTTTCTTACAGTATAGCACCATTCCACAAGCCTCTACACACCTCTATTTGGGACTTCGCTGAATCCTATCTGAAACCCAAAAAGCCGTCCCCAGGCTTCGTCTGTCAAATGGGTCACGTGGGCGGAAAGACAGTTTCAGCATGGTCTGGCGTGCAGAAACCTAATTGCTGTGTTCCCTTTTCATTGCTTGAATTCTCCCGAACATACAGGTGCACGATCGCATCGAGCAATGACAGCAGTGAACATAGGTATACAATATTTTGGTGGCAGGTAGGTGAGATACAATCTATCCTTACACGGCACCATTATCTTTGAATAACTCCACTTAAATTCTTCCGCTTAACAGCAGCAGAAGCAACTCATTTCAAATGCTAGATCACAATGGTATTCCACCCAAAGTCATTTGAGTTGAATTATTCGCTTCAAATAATAAAAATAAACTTTTGCTATTTTGCTCGCAGCTGTAAGGTTGCATTCAACGTAGTGGCCCAAAAAAATCCGTACCCCGAAAGACGGAAAGACCTAGCCTCCACCTGATGACGAATTACAAAATATGCTTCGTCAACTTACCACTGGAATCAGAAACATCTAAACACTCTTTAGTTGAACATAACAGCGCTAACATAGATGACGACGTCGGTGAAAAGCTGAAAGATTCCGTGGAAAAAGAGTGCAAACAGCATAGAAAAAGTGATCCAATGTTCAGTATTTCAATAACAGTTCTGCTCACATAATTTTCCTGGCCAATACAAACACTTTTAAACGAGTTCTGTAAAAAAAACAGTTATCAAAACTGGCTTTTCTCTTCTCCCATCCCTCTGAACATTTTGATGATTTGTAAGTTTCTTTTTTCAGGCAAAACATTAGTGATCAGCAATGGGAATGAACTGGTGAGAGATCGATTTCGTCAAGCTGACGCTTCCGGGATTTTTTGACAAGTTTGGGATATGCCAGCGTAATGTCCCTAAATCCCTTCAAGCTGTCAAAGCACAAATGTGCCAGTATAATGCCAAGTGTGGAGTGCATCCCGTACCCATGTTAGCATGCGAAACGTCGTTTTTGCACCCACTTCACAGACAGGATTTAACAACAAATCCTATGTCGTCGCTCAGCGGTAACACCCCTTCGGTGCTCAGCTGCCATGCTACCCGAAATCAGCACGAGGTCTGAGATACTGCCAGGTTGCCCAGGCCTAGACAGAGGAAGTCGAGAGGCAGAGGTCGGGTTAGAAACAAGGATAAACCGGTCAGTAAATTCGACAAATCCTATTACACACAACAATCACATTTACGGCCATCTGCTGTCCAGATATTAGATCGACGATTTCACAAAGTGTTCGCTCAATCCGGTTGTATACAAACATCTGTCACCAGCTGTGTTAGCTATCCGTCTTTTGAAGTTTCTTGACTCGAGCGTCACAGCGTATGAAGAAGCCAGAAATCCGAAGGTTTGTTCGCACACACCCTAGATTTCGCAGACGATCGTTCTCATACCATCTGGTTTCGGAACCGCGACGCAATCCACAAGCATCCATTCGTAACAAGCATTTCTTTGACGAAACACCGGGCATGCAAGTGGGATAAACCTGTCTGTGGATATCTCATGTTCCTGTCGGCCGATCGTCCTTGTTCACATTTTGATAGGAAGCTGCCTGTTTCAACTTGTGTTACGCGCCTCTGTTGTTGGTTTGTTGTCATTTCCTGTCTCCCAAGCTGGTCCTCCATGCTTTCTTAGCCACTATTTCCTCCATTCCCAAACAGTGGTTTGACAGCTGTCGCTTCCGGCTTTAGATAAAGCTTTCATTGCATCGCTTCCCTCCTCTCACTGGGAGGATGTGTTTTATCGCTTGCGCTTCACTGCACCTTAGATAGATCATGAGCCATCAGATTCCATTATCCCACGCCACAGTGGTCAGGTAAATTCGAAAGATAGCATAAGCATCCTTGGTATATGATCGCAGAGGCGATTACGGGGAACGAGTCTTGATCACCAGAAGTGGGCAGTTTAGACCGAGACTACAGAAAATGAATGAGAAAGGTGCGGATGTTCCTCAAAAATCTGGACTGAAAGATTAAGTGGCCTCGATGTTTAATGTGTTGCAGGATAATCCTAATGCTTCTAGAGGGTGAAAATTCCCTTTGGGTGGAAGCAGTACGCACTGTTACACCTACGTCCATGTTGTCTTTTCCAAATTGAAATGTCCATGAGCTTTGCTCTCTTAGGCACCATGCTCAATAGCGTTATATGTTCGTGAATACTTTGGGGCAGCTATCATCAGTCACGAAAGACTGTAACCCGTTTCCTATTAGTACGGATACACAGTCTGTCCGAAACTGCTAGCAAAATACGCAATCGTAGGCTGTTAGCTTGTTACCAATCCATACTTTCTCCTAGAAATATATAGATAATAAGATATCCAATATTCTAATCGAGAAAATCGAATCATAAGGGAAAGGTTTGGTACTGGATGTTGTTTTGCTCTGAACAACTCATCCCAAGTGATTGCTACGACACAGAGGAATTTCACGGTCCGTAAGTTATCGCTGGATTTTGAGCATCGATTCTTGTAAATCTGGCAACTGCCGTTTTAGTGTGCCACAGTGTCAGCCCAAGGCGTCTTCCAGTTCTTCAAGCGAATCTCAACGTACCCAATGATCCCAGTGAACTTTTAGTAATCTACTCACCTAGAAGGTACCCTAACTTGAGTGACTGTTAGTCTACATGCCCGTCTTTTTGTCATTTTTATTTAGATGTCCTGGATGGAGCTGCAAGACCTCATGCTCATTGCAACGGCAAGCTCGGATATTGGTGTCGAAAATCAGGGTTATTATTTTTTGCCTACGATAAACGAAGTAGATGACGATCCCGGATATGCTGGATTTCCTACATTTCTGGCCCAAGCAATCTCACCCGCATCACCACCAACATTGGTGGGCAATACACTGCAACAACTACTCCATGTTCTGATTGAAGTTACGCAGCCACCCATTTTGTCACAAGACCACTTTCAAACAAGCCTTGATAAAGCATGTGAACTTCTTAGGCTCAGTGTTTGTCCTTCATCTGCTGAAAACATTCCCACCGGTGCGACTCTGAGCAACTTTTACCAATGATTTTCCTGTACACAACCCAAACAGCCGGAGCAATGATTGATATTTCTCTTGGACAGGCTATGGCTGTCCAAAGCATTGCAGTTTTTGTAATACATATTCAGATTTGTCTCGTGTTCAAACACTGAGGATGGGGGATAAAATGTCAGATCCGACAAATATGCATTGACTAGAAGCCAGTTCTCAGATGAGACCATTTTTGCCTAATTTGTCTTCCCAGAGGGAAGTGAATGAACCTGCATATTCTGGGTAATGATTTTATGGCATCGTTTTTCAGGGGGTAATTGGAAGCGATGTAGAATCCATGGAAAGAAATCTGGAAAGAGGGGCAGTGAGGTTGATTCGTGCACTACTCTGCAGGCATATTCCATCTATCAAGGTCTTTTTGAAGCGCGTACAATCTAGATACGGTGCAGGATGCTATCTACGGGTATATTTGTTTATTACAACACATCAGATGTTTGAACAAACCGCATAGTTTTACATTTTCGGTGGGCCTATGTTGAGTACTTGGATTGTCCATTTACAAATCCGGAGTACCTGGGACGATATATCATTGGTCGGAGTGCTGGATACCTTATTCGTGGTGCCAATAGGTAGTCCTCTCATCCGTCTAGGTGAGCCAACAGCTCAGTAATTCTAGCCGGGCGGACTACCCCGTTTGGCTGCAACGTACTGGTTTTATTCGATAAGGAATAACATGATTCATCCGTTGCTGCTGCGCTAGTTCGAACCAATACACATGAGGTGCTCGTGTGCAAGGACCGTGGAAAAAGGGGCCAAACGAAAGTTGGTTTGGTAGTTCACCGTCAAATTTACCTCCATGAAGATGTTTGATTGAACACGGTAGTCAACTTGGCCTATGTTGTCCCCGCCGGCCTCCAAAGTACATCGATCTGAGTCAACACTGGTGATACATTCACCTCACTAGCATAATTCCGATAGGCCTGATTGAGTAAAGACTTTGGATATCTACTGATCTCATCAAGAGTCAGTAGCTTTCACGCCTTGCCAACATGCTACATCTGTCTTGCGATGGGAAAACCGCGACGTTCGTGAGACCGGGACAATATTTTCATGGTTAGTCGGTTGTCAGTGCCTAACTGACAAGCGCGACTGGACAAATCATCACCTAGTGGCTCAGACCAAATCACCGCTCAAACAGCTCCATTCTTGTCCGACTGTGACGCCCATGTCACCTGATTCAGCAACTGTCAGACCTATTGAGGCGTTTACAAAATCTTTATCCCTAGTTTGATACATCTCACAAGCCTATTAGAACGTTGTAGCATTTTTCCATCATTCAGAGGTTCTTTGCTGTGAAGGAGTGAGACAAAGAGATCCACTGTTCCATCATGGCGATGGATGATGTTGTTGGAACGTCCATCCCGCGAATGGACTACCAATTCCATAACACTTTAATGGATGCTTTTGCACTCGCTATCGAATGAATACTGTGTACAGAAGGTCAGCCATGTCTTAAAAAAGGTTGCAGCTGACGCGTTTGAGTTGTAAAGAGCCGTTATGGATCTTAACACCCGAAAGACTAAATAAATGATAATTTGTAGGAACAGGGAACATCAGCGACCGTGTCTTTCCAAGGAACTAATTGCTCGTCTTGGTCCAAACAAACAAACACACTTAGTTGGCCGTCCCATTCACCTTCAAGTGCATAGTAGTTTGCTACCACTGACAGCAGCTACTGAATCCGGTCAATGAGCTGGCGGATGTTCCGTTCGAGGGGCATCAAGGAATGGTCACGAAAACTTACCTAATACCGAGGCTGTGTTACCTCATGCTCGGCCAAACCCACTGCAACACGTTCAAATCAATGGATATTTACATCAGCCAGTCTATTCGTGGCTCGCTGGGTGCACAGAATGACACCTTAACCAGATGCACTCACGCTGGTAAACAACATAGTAGACCCAACATCCCAACTCTGAGTACGCATGGGAAATCCTGTTGTCCACGCAGTGCCGAATACCACTCAATGTGTTTACTGATCCTGTATTTGGTAAGATTGTGCGGAACATCAGCCTTCCAATCCTGTTTCAAGGCACGTGTGTGAACATCGAGAGAAAAATGATGCTTGCTTGGGCTGGCAGTCTGTTGATGTTGGAGGCTTGCGATCGGTGGTCCTCTCGGCCCTTCCGAATCGATAGCATGTGTTTAGGACCCATGTTCCCTGAGTCGGTTACCCGCGATATTTACCTCTGGTGCAACCCGCTGATGATGACAGTTAGATACGTCCGGCTTGGTCATGATAACCAGATGGTCTCCTTTTGTATGTGGTCAGCCAGAGAGTTTGGTGCAGATTCTGCAATCCTCTCGAGTCACGAATGACGTTGAGTTTGCCGATGAGCAGTACAGTGAGTACAGATGGCAAACTGTGTATAATTTGGGTTCAAGTAGAACATAAGGTCAATTAAAACTCCAGAATTGTATCTACCTGATGAAATGGAAGGGCGAAACCCTAGATGGGCTGACAAAGAATCTTCAGCAGCCTTATGAGTAGTTTTCCTTCAAAAAAACATACTACAATATCCCGAATATCGTTTCAGTTGTGAACTGATACAACCTGTTTGCAGCACATCCAGTGTAGGGCTATCTTGACTGCAAACGTTGGGTATTGTTTGTCCTTTCCTTAGTTGCTGGTATTTCAATACCCGCTGACTGTGCATTTTTTAGCCGTGCCTCCAAACTACGCTATCGCAGCTAGATACAGGACAAGTAAGACTGCAGCTGCATTACAGAATAAAAACAACTGTAACTAAACCATATTCTTTATAGGCAATCTAAGTCTATCAAGCTTATCGCCATGAAACAACGAATGACTTGAATATGGGTCGACTGGCTCTATCGCCTTTGACAAGCTAAAAATGCCAACACTGTTCTGAGCTTCGAAGGTGGACATAATCTTGTTAGCATATACGAGGAATCGGACTTTACAATTTATTCTAGAGACAGACCAGTTCACTGCCTCAAAAAACCGTTGGTGCATTGGGTGTATCAAATTCAGTCTAGATGTTCCAAACGATGTGTGTGCCCAATTCACCCGGTTTACTCGGCATAAGGACGGTGGACCGACAGCGCAAATTCGGCGGCATGAGATGCTCATCAGTAGTCAGATTGAGGTAGGATAAATCAACATATCGACAGTTAGCCGTGGAAAATTTGAATCGCGTATACTTAAGGATAAATGTATCCCATTGATTTGCGGGCCAAACGTGATTCGGTATCACCAGACCCATAGGTGCAGAAAAATCTGCACCTTGGTATCACTTTGTGGGATATTTTTGCAACACAAAATTTGGGCACTGACGATCCCTGTGCTGCCGACGCACCTGTAATCGTCCGTTAAAGTTGACTAATTCATTTACTTTCAATTGCAAGGCCTCACTAGCATTATACCGCAAAAATTGAGTGGAGCAGTATCAACCATGATCAGGGTGACTGCGCCCAAAGTAGTGTGCATCCCATTGACATATATTTTCAACTCGGTGAGAGCGGCGGAGCGTACTCGAGAATTCAATCGAACCGTTGATATGGAATTCCATTACTCAAACACACCCGCCAAGATAATTTTGTGCCTCTGATCTCCTCGCCTGTTGATGATACGTAAGCACACCTGTCGACTCACTGGAACCTGAGGCGCATCGGGTACCCAATTCGCCATGTCAGGAGCTGGACATTCCTCAATACCATCCCGGAAAGTCATATTTTCATTGAAAAAAATCGGTGATGCGTGCGACCCAAACGCCTCACAATGTCGAGCTGGACATCAATACCATCCCGGAAAGTCATATTTTCATTGAAAAAAATCGGTGATGCGTGCGACCCAAACGCTTCACAATGTTCCTTCCTTCAGCACCTGAACTCAAACAGGC